TGCTTATCCCATCCTGAAGACCCAGTGTGGCTCTCTATGGAGAATAGGGGCGGGTGCAGCACATGATAGCAGCTTCTAGCCACATCAAGAACCTCAAGGATCGTAACAGAAACCAGGGAGCTTGCCTGTGTTTCACATGGTCGTGTATTGCCCTCCTCATTCATCTGCTCACAAGTGGGGAAACTGAGGCCCAGGCCAGCTGGGAAGAATCGGAGCCAGGAAGGGCATGCAGGCAGCCTCACCCAAGCCACTTGTTATTCCATGTCCCGCAGTAACTGCAAAATGACCTATATGAAGGGCCTGGGCAGGCTCCACCCATTGTATCCCAGCACATCCAAGAGCTGGGCCAGACTTGCTACACGCATCTGGCAAAATGCTGACAGCAGATGAGCTAATTACATAGGAGAATACAACTAGATGGGGAGCCCAGGTGTCAGATGACATAGCTCTCCTCATCAAACTGGGGGGACCTGTGGATGAGTCCACTCTGTGGCAGGACCCAGGGCCCGTGACCACCAGGAGCTCCAGGGCTCCAGGGCCATGAGCATCTCTTCACCTCCCATTGTGCACAGAGTAAAGAAATTGTTCAAGGCAGCTGTGGAAACACACACCCGTATGCACGTGCCTTCATACTCCCACACATATGTGCGGTACACACAATTGTTTCATACGTGCAGGCATAAAGCACACACAGGGACATAGGAACCACATGGGCAAGAACACTACACACACACATGCAGCCTGATGTGCACATAAGAACCATGAAAACAACCCTGGGATTGACCTGTCCAGGGCCTTCATACACATTCCTCAGGTGGCAGATGAGGGCCAGGGCAGGCAGACGGGAGCTGTATGGTACCTCCTTGCACACATGCACCCCTCCCCAAGCTTTTAGAATCTTGATGCTCGGAGAGGATTTGGGGAACCCTTTCCTGTTTTCAAATGACTACAGAGCACAGCGTGTGAGATGGTCCTGTGTCCCCAAGCCTAAGTCACTTCCTAAGAAGCATTTGCAGTCTCAGGCCCCCTCGCAGTGACATATGCTAGTCATTCCATTTTTCAGGAATAAAAACTGAAGCACAGACACTCATCCTGGCCTAGCTAACCCCTCAACCTCAGAGGCAAAGACAGTACACGCTGACTTCTCGGTTGTGCGCATCCCTGGAGCCGGAGCAACCTCTCCACCAAGGAATGTCCCCCACAAATCATCACCAGAGTTCCCACAGGCGAAGCCAAAGCCTATCTGGTCTGTATCATGTCTAACACGGTGCCAGATCCTGCCTCCCATCCTGAACAGGATGGGGATGCCAGAGAAAGTTACCAGCATTCTGGAGACCCCTACTTTTCCTCTTTCGGTGGCATTTTTGTTCTCCCAGTGTAGGGTCACTGAGGCAGGCAGGAACTGGTGGCCTGCCAACCCACTAATGAGGGGCTTTCCAGCCAAGGGAGACAGCCCAGGGTGATCCCCCTGGGATAAGTTTGGAATATCCAACTAGGAAGGAGAGACAAGAACAGGATGAAAGCCAGAGGGAGAGGACACAGTGGGGAAGGGAAATGAAGAGTAAAGGGGTCAGGGTCAGACCACCAGGGACCCCCATGGAGATATCCTCCAAGATGATCCCACAGGGCCCAGCATGTCCGGGGTAGCCTAAGACCGAGAAGGAAGATGTCTGGTGTCCAGAGGGAATCAGAAACCCCCTCACCACCGCCCCCAGAACCTCCAGGCCAAGTGCTAGCCAAAAGCCTGTGGTACTTGAAGGTTCTGCTGACACTGAAGTAGCTGGGTGGTCCAAAGGGGCATGAGGAGACTGAAACCTACTGAGCCCCTTTAGAAGGCTGCAGACCTCCAAAAGAAAGGAAGGAAGATGGAGGGAAGGAGGGAGAGGGAGGGAAGGGCGTAGGGGAGGAGAGGAGGAGAAACGCAGGTAGAAATGCAGCAGAAGGAAAGAGAGTAAAATTTGCACTGGCCCAATTGAACACCCCATCTGTCCCTTGGGGTCCTGCTCGGACTGGTCCCCCAAGTTGGGACTATAGCCCAGGGCACTGGCTCTCCCAGAGGAAAGCTAAGAAATGGGAGTGAAATCAAAGAACAGAATGCCTGGGCTGGGGTCAAGCAGGGGCGGCCATTCACTCTGGGCTCTGGACAGGTGGTCAGAGGCTCTGCTCGTCTGCTGCTGAGCTTCTGTCCAGGCGGGTACCAGCAAACTAGCCACCAGTGCCAACTGTGTCCAGAGGCATTGCTGGGCGGGTCAGACAAGCCTACACTACAGCAATATCCTGGGGCGGGGGAGACAGTGCTTCCCTGGTACACTAGCCATCCCTGATGTGCCATGGGGGGACCAGGTTAGAGCCTTATAATCCCTTTTCTACTCAACAACCGTAAGCCCGAAAGAGGGTACAGGCTGATGCAGGCAGGAGATAAAAAAAATGGAGAAAGAGGCCTCCAGCCAAGGGAAGGGGCAGGCAGCGGGCATCAGCTGGCCTCAACTAAGGGTGTGGCTATGAGGAGCATCCAGAAATATCTGCAGGGTGGGGTGGAGAGGCAGTCTCTGGCCGGCACCGCAGGACCAGCCCCCAAGGCAACATCATCAGAGAAGAGGCTGTGAGCTAGCCCCAGGAGGGGACTGTACTGCCACAGCTGAGTAATAACAACTGGAGAGGGTCCATAACTCTAACCCTGCAGCCAGAGTAATACACCCTGACAGATACAGGGCTTTCCACGGGGAGCTGAGTTCCTCCACCAACTGGATTTGTGGGGAAAGTGAAGGAGGATGGAGGGAGGAGAGAGGAGGGAGGGCCCAAGGATGTCCCTGTAGCCAACTCATTGAGTCACAGGAAATTTAACCATTCAATATCTGTCGAGTTTCGCAAAACTTGGCTGCCTTGCCCTGCAAATTATTGCAAAAAGCAGTCATGTGACTGGGGCCCACCAATAGCACATTGAGGAGATGACCTCAATTTTCAAATATTGGGGTCACGTTTCATTTCCCATTACCCCCCCCCCCCCCCCGTTAAGACTTTTAGCAGCTCCCAGCAAATCTGACTTCTCACTCCTTCACACACTTGGCCAAGAAGGAGGCAGAATGGTGCTCGTAGGAAACTCGGAAAACATCTGGCAGATCCTGAGAGGGAAAGAAGAGCAGAGCAGGGTCTGCCTGCACTTTCTCCTGACTCGCCAGCATTAAAAATGGGCTGCTGCCCCTCCAGCCATGCACTGAGGATGATTTCAAAGTGGGTCCCGCCATGGGAGCAGGAGAAAGCTTCCTGGAGCCTTTCTTTGCATGCTTTGAAAAAAAATCTCTTTTGTCCAAAGCAAAATGTCTAACACCACAGCCAGGACCAAGGCAGCCCCTTCCAAGTGACCGCACCCTCAAAGGCAAAGGAAAGTAGGGGAGGGGGGGTGACTTAGCACAACATGGAGTGAAGCAGAGAAGGGGGCAGCCACAGGGCGGGGCAGAGCTGGGGCAAGCGGTTGGTGCCAGGAATGCCCTACCACCCAACATGGTAACCCCAGCTTCCACGGAAGAGGGTTCCACTAAGGATTCCCTCCTGAGGTTCCAGGGAAACCCCACTAGAGGAGTTGGGCAGGGCTAAGTACCAGGGGAGCATTGCGGGAGTGGGGGGAATGTGGGAGGCTGACCCCATCCTGTCTCTCCTCCACTTTTCTGGGCCTCCATCGTCCTCTACTTAAAACTGAACTCTGCAAAGCCCGGGTCAGGCTGGTCCAGGTCTCAGTAAAGTGGGACTCAGCCATGCTCTCCCTCTGTCCCCTAAGGCCCTGGAGCCCCTTCCATGCCTGCTCTTGCTTATATCATGTACCCACTGGACACTAATGGTGACAGGAAGCAGCAGGAGAATATTGTAATTGGCCGTGGGGCGTGGAAAATGATTCTCCCGCTAGTCCTGGAAGCACCAGCTAAGAAAAGCCGTGTCCTAGACAAGGGCTGGCCAGTCCGCAGCAGCCACCCTCTCTGTTCTGCTGCCTGAACTCCTAACCACCTTCACTTGCCCTATCAGAACAAGCCCAGATGCCTTTCCCGCCCTGGGCTACGGCATTTAGGGGTCTGGGGATATTTCTCCCACGGCAAGCTAACAGAAGTGATGCTGAGAATAACACTGCTACCCAGACGTGAGCCTGGAAGTGCTGGAATCCAGACAAGGACAAGCAGTGCCTCTCTGGTTCCTCCCAAGGGATCAGGGCTCCTTCGAAAGGGCCCATCCTGGCAGGAGGAGTCTCACATCTGCAGATCATCTGAGCAGCTCCCAGTCCAGACTCCAAGGCCCTCTCCTGGCCTGGCTCCCTGTACATCCCATCTTTGGGCAAAGAGCCCAAGAAAACTACCTCTAAAGGGTTAGGAGGTTTGCGGTCAGATTAGGAGCAGGGTTGGCCTATTACAGGACTCCACAGTGCCCCCCTGAACGCTTGGCGGGGACTGCAGGGAACCTCGTCCCCTGAGAAAGCAGAAAGTCAGCCCAGACAAGCGGGAGGGTGTGTACCAAGGGAAGCTCAACGCTGTGGATTCAAACTTCTGGGATCCCCTTCACCCCAAGAAGTCCCTGAGGAATTGAATGGCTTTGACTCTAGGGGGCGGCCCTTCCCAGCTTTCAAAAGTTTCTGCTGAAGGGCTGCGTGGGATGCAGCGGGTCGCCTGTGATGTGGGACAGGGAATGTGAGGTTTGGGGACAAAAGTGTGACCACCTCCGCTCGGCTCTAACACGAGGCGGACTCTTCCTTGACTCGCGCGACAGCCCCACCCGTCTGGCCCGTTTGAGGAGGGGGCGGTACGCCCGAGAGGATGGAGTTGGCCCGGCTCCCTCTCCCGGGCCCCCAACGAATGGTATTCGTTGTCTTGCCGGTGCATTCCACAGGCCAAGGAGGAAAGTTCTGCAGGCTCGGAGGAGGCCGGCGGCGAAAGCGTCTGGGATGACAGCGGCGCGGCTGTTCGGCGCGCGTTCTGCAGTCCCTGAGGCCCGGTCCCCAGAGTGCGAAGGACCCTTACCTGCGCGGCTCGGAGGCGGCGCCCACAGCAGCAGCAGGAGCAGGAGCAGCGGCGGGGACAGCAGCGGGGCGCCCGGGCGGGCAACTTTCCAGCGGGTGTGTACGTCCATGCCAGCAGGGGTGCGCGGGCCGGGGAGCGGGGCTCACGCGATGCACAGGGACCAGGGACACGGCCCGGGTGGCGGACGCAGAGGGGAGCGAGACAACTTCAGGGAGTCATAGGAATCTCGGCGCCCGCCCGATCTCCCCCGCGGCGGTGGCTGTCCTGGAAGGGGCGACGGGCGCGCTCGCCCACGGCGCGGGGATCAACTATGGCCCGGGATGGCCTGGACCCCCTCACTGGCTGCTAGCACGCGCCCTGTCCTCCTCCTCCTAGTCCCTTGGCCTCCTCGCCGCTGCCGCCCCGCGACCCGCTCCCCGTGGGCGCTCAGCTGAAGTGAGGTCCTGCGCCAGCCGCGGGGACGAGGAGTGCGGACCTCGCCTTCGGCGCCGAGTACTTTTCCCCCCTTTCCCTCCCTCCCTCGCTGCTGGCAGACACCGCGGAGGCTGTCGATCCCCAACGCCCGCAGCAAATCAGAGCCCGGCACCCGGCTCAGCAAAGCCGGCCCCCGCCTCCCACTGGGCGCCGCGGGCGAGGGGGTGGGGACAGCGGGCGAGTCGCGGCGAGGAAGGGGCTGGCCCGGGGCGGGAGCGGACGTGGGACGGGGGCGGCGCCCCCGTTCTTTCTCCCCGCTCTGGGCGGCGGCCTCCGGAGCCCGATGGCCCACCCTGGTCCTGATTCTTCCCGCCCCAGGTGCCCCGACCTGGACAGACTCCAAGAACCAGCGTTGAGCCCCTCTCCCACTCCTCGAAGTTTGAGCGCTTGAGTTCAAAAGAGAGGGAGACAGAGAGATTGCTCTTCCACGCCGGACTTTCTCTTTAAGGAGGAGTTCCGAGAGCTCCTCTTCTGGGCGGGGACTCAACTTGCGACTCAGCCAGAAGGGGCTCCCTAGACTTTGACTGACAGGTCAAGCTAACTTTAGAGACCAGCTTTCCACCTCTCCCCATGTAAATTGTCAAGGATGCCCAGAGGGGCCTCCGGTGGACTTGGGGTGACCAAATTATTAGTAAGATGAAGGTTAGCCTCAAATCCCACCCCACCCTCCCCCCGTTGTCCCTGGTGGCCCAGCCACTTGTAAGGAAAAGGAGGCCAAGGGAGAAGCCCCCTTCCAGAGCTAACAGCTCCCTATCCAGACCAGAGGGAGACAGGAGTTTCTCCCAGGTTCCTCCAGGCCCAGGAGGCCCCGCTAAGCCTGACTCACTGCCCTGCCCTTCTACAAGGGCTTCAGGGTTTGTTTAGAAAGAATCAGAGTGAATTAAGAAGGTTTGAGGACTCAAAGGCATTGCTGCCTTTGAAGACATTGCCGCCTGGGAGGATTTTAGAGTGATGGGGACCTGACTGGGAATCCTTTCCCCTGTTACAACTTGGGGCCCCGTGGGACTCCCTACATGCCCTTACTTCTCATCACTCTCCAACCAGAAGGGCAGGGACAGTCAGAGGGCAGAGGCAGTCAGAGAGCAGAGACAACCAGAGAGCAGAGACAACCAGAGGGCAGAGGTAGTCAGAGGGCAGAGACAACCAGAGGGCAGAGGCAGTCAGAGGGCAGAGGCAGTCAGAGGGCAGAGACAGTCAGAGGGCAGAGACAATCAGAGGGCAGAGGCCGTCAGGGGTTACAGGCAGTCAGAGGGCAGAGGCAGTCAGAGAGCAGAGACAACCAGAGAGCAGAGGCGGTCAGAGGGCAGAGGCAGTCAGAGGGCAGAGACAACCAGAGGGCAGAGGCAGTCAGAGGGCAGAGACAACCAGAGGGCAGAGGCAGTCAGAGGGCAGAGGCAGTCAGAGGGCAGAGACAACCAGAGGGCAGAGGCAGTCAGAGGGCAGAGGCAGTCAGAGGGCAGAGACAACCAGAGGGCAGAGGCAGTCAGAGGGCAGAGGCAGTCAGAGGGCAGAGACAACCAGAGGGCAGAGGCAGTCAGAGGGCAGAGGCAGTCAGAGGGCAGAGGCAGTCAGAGGGCAGAGACAACCAGAGGGCAGAGGCAGTCAGAGGGCAGAGACAACCAGAGGGCAGAGGCAGTCAGAGGGCAGAGACAGTCAGAGGGCAGAGGCAGTCAGAGGGCAGAGGCCGTCAAGGGTTACAGGCAGTCAGAGGGCAGAGGCAGTCAGAGGGCAGAGGCAGTCAGAGGGCAGAGGCAGTCAGAGGGCAGAGGCCGTCAAGGGTTACAGGCAGTCAGAGGGCAGAGGCAGTCAGAGGGCAGAGGCAGTCAGAGGGCAGAGGCTGTCAGAGGGCAGAGGCAGTCAGAGGGCAGAGGCCGTCAGGGGTTACAGGCAGTCAGAGGGCAGAGGCAGTCAGAGGGCAGAGGCAGTCAGAGGGCAGAGGCAGTCAGGGGTTACAGGCAGTCAGAGGGCAGAGGCAGTCAGAGGGCAGAGGCAGTCAGAGGGCAGAGACAGTCAGAGGGCAGAGGCCGTCAGAGGGCAGAGGCCGTCAGAGGGCAGAGGCCGTCAGAGGGCAGAGGCCGTCAGGGGTTACAGGCAGTCAGAGGGCAGAGGCAGTCAGAGGGCAGAGGCAGTCAGAGGGCAGAGGCCGTCAGGGGTTACAGGCAGTCAGAGGGCAGAGGCCGTCAGAGGGGTTGCTGGGATGCTCTGCTCTGGTTCTTGAATATGGATGTAGGTGGCTAGCACTGACTTAAGCCACGCCTTGCTCAAGTGTGGGATGTACCCGACAGTGGACAGCACGCCGCGCACAGGATAGAGCAGGAGGGTGGGGATCAGCTCAGAGGCTGTGCAAGAAGGCAGCACAGAGAGAGGATAGGGAAAGCCACGCACGAAAGCACAAGCGGGCGGACAGACTCAGACATGGCACGGTAAACGTCACAAGTCAACGCGTGCAGTCCAGATGAACCGTTAGGGAATAATTACAGATGTGTGTGAGTTGTGTGAATGGCAGTGAGATGCGTACATGTGTGCTTATGGGTGCACATGGGGCACATACATCTGTGTGCATACTGTGTGCGTGTTGTGCGGAATGTGTGCATATAGGTGCATGCATGTGTAGAAGCTGTGTGTGCATATATGTAAAGTGTGTGTGCATGTGCAGGTGTGTACGATGCGTGTGAGTTATGTGTATGTGTTCATATGTGTGTTACATGTACTGTGTACATGCATGTGTGTTGATTTATCTGAGACCTCTGACCTCTCTATCCCATGCACCTCACCAAGTGAAAGTTTCCCTCTGGCACTCCATGAGGCTCTGCCACACCCCTTTGAACTGAAGCGGCCCCGCCCCCACCTGCATGAGGATCAGCCTCTCCCTGTGGACAAGGTGTGCTGGCACAGGTCAGTGACATGGTTACCAGCAAGCAGTATGACCTTCCCGGTTCCCTCATGGGGAATGCCTCTTCTCCCCAGGCACACATAAGCTTCTCTTCTGGAAGCTGGTCCCTGAGGAGCCAAGTTAAGTGTGCATCCCACGGTCCTGAAATGCCCATCAGGAGCCATGGGAAGCTTGGGCTTGTGGCTCATGACACAGACATGTGCTGGACAGTTTTGTGTCAACACTTGGCACAAGCTGGAGTTATCTCAAAGGAGAGAACCTCGAGAGACTGCTTCCGTAAGACCCAGCTGAAGGGCATCTTCTTAATTAGTGATTGATGGGAGAAAGCCCAGCCCACTGTGGGTGGGGCCATCTCTGGGCTGGTGATCCTGGGTTCTATAAGAAAACTGAACAAGCCATGAGGAGCAAGCCAGGAAGCAGCATCCTCCATGGCCTCTGCATCAGCCCCAGCCTCCAGGTTCCTGCCCTGCTTGAGTCCCTGTCCTGACTCCTTTGATGATAAACAGCACTGTGGAATTGAAAGCCAAATAAATCCTCTCCTCCCCCAAGTTGCTTTGGTCATGGTGTTTTGACGAAGCAATAGAAACCCTAACATACACGTTTTATCCTCTCTGAGAAGTAAGCCACACAATGACTGTGCCAAGCTAGCAAACAAAGTTTTTAATGGGGTCCAAGCCTGGATTTGGGAGAAATGAGTTCCTGTCTCACCAGGAAACTCAGAGAAAAATCTCCCAATTGAGTGCCTTTGGTGTAGGCCCAGAGTGGTAGGAGGGTGGGCTACCATTCCATTGGTGAGTCCCATGAGGATGTGAAAACCTCAGACATCCATGAGGCTTTCACCAAGTTCAGCTAACACTGCCCCGCACACTGTCCCCAACCTGCATCAGGTTTACATAACAAGACAGCTCACTCTTCCCATCTACAGGTGGGGAAACTGCAAGTCAGAGAGGGCAAAAGGCCTACCTAGAGCACCAAATCTGTGATTCAACTCACTGTAGCAGAGCCCAAACAAGTGTCAGTCCCTGAAGCTGCTCACTAGACACGGGATTCTCAACCTTTCTTGTTATACAGACTTCAAACACCTGTGTTCCAGCAAGAGCAACCAAGCCCTTCTGCTCAGGCAAAGGTAGCCCCATACCAGGCATTCTCCTGTGTCCATTTGGCATCTCATTATAATGGAAGAGTCCTTGGAAATCTTATTGTTCAGTCTCTTTGCCAGCATGATTCTAGGCTCTAAGGAGTCTATGGAAAATAAGCCACTCATGGGCCCCATCTACACCATCCTGCAGTGTTGCACGGGATTCCATGATCATGGGAGTGGTCCTGTGCTTACATCTTTCTTTTTCCATCTTGCCTGGCTGTATGCATCTGCTAGTGGCATGCCAAAAGGGAAGGGTTGACCTCCATCCAATGTCCCCTGCATATCCCAGTCAACCATACATGCCATTACCCTTTGTTGTAAAATATAATCTTACAAGGAAAATAGCTCCCATTATTATCAGGTCAGATATGTCCACCTGCAGGAGTCTATCATGATTGGTTTGTGGATTATTGCTATGCTGTCATGGAATGAGGGGTGGGGAAGATCATCGAACTTTACCTGAGACTCCAGGGGAAGGAGAGGCAAAGGGGAAGCTCTGAGGGGTGGGAGGTGTTTCCCTCCTTCTCAGAACATATGGACTATCTCAGACAGCAGTCCTCACACACATTACAGGCAAGGCTCTGCTGTCTCTCTGTGTCACAGGCCTCTGTGGTTCCGCAGTAGGTGCAGAAAGCCATGAATGAGCTGTGGCTCTGAGTCATGGTTAGGGATGCCTTTGTGTTGTGCCCAGAAGAGAGCTCCATCCATCCATCCATCCATCCATCCATCCATCCATCCATCCATCCATCCATCTTTCTGCTGGTATTCAGAAGTCAGGCCAATACCACAATTTCACATATCACTAAATGCAAGACCTGGACACATGAGTTCCCTGTCTGAGATGCTTGTCACCTGGGAACCTAAGTGATGAACTGACTCAGTGGTTCCCAAAGACTCAGATGAGAAAGTAGGTGGCAGGTTTGGGACAGAGGGGCAGGGTAGCCCT